AGTGACAGCCCTTGATATCAAGGCTGCATTCGACTGAGTGTGGCATCAAGGACACCGAGCAAAACTGGAATCAATGGGTATCGGGGGCAAACTCTCCGGTGGTTGGAGTCATACCTGACACACAGGAAGATGGTCTGGTTGTTGGCGGGCAATCATCTCAGCTCCAGAACATCTCTAGAGGAGTTCCTCAGGGTAGTGTTCTCAGCCCAACCACCTTCTGCTGCTTCATCAATGACCTTCCCTCCATCATGAGGTCAGAAGTGGGGATGTTCACTGATGATTGCACAGTGTTCAGCACCATTCGTGACTCCTGAGATAGTGAAGCAGTCCATGTTCACATGCAACAAGATCTGGACAATATCCAGGCTTGGTCTGACCTAGCAAGTGACTCATGCCACACAAATGCTAGGCTGTGACCGTCACCAATAAGAGACAATTTAACCACCATCCCTTGACATTTAATTGTGTTATCATCACTGAATTCCCCACTATCAACATCCTGGGGGTTATCATTGACCAGAAACTCAACTGGACTCACCACATAAACACAGTGGCTGCAAGGGCAGGCCAAAAGCTAGGAATACTGCAGCGAGTAACTCATCTCCTGACTCCTCAAAGCCTGACCACCATCTACAAGTCAGGAGTATGATGGAATACTCCCCACTTGCTTGGATGCGGGCAGCCCCAACAACACTCGAGAAGCTTGACACCATCCAGGACCCGATTGGCACTACATCCACATGCATCCATTCCCTCCACCACTGAAGCTCAGTAGCAGCAGTGTGCACTGTCTACAGGATGCACTGCAGAAATTCACCAAAGATCCTCAGACAGCACCTTCCAAACCCACGACCACTTCCATCTAGAAGAACAAGGGCATTAGACATATGGGAATGCCACCACCTTCAAGTTCCCTTCCAAGCCACTCACCATCCTGACTTGGAAATGTATCGCTGTTCCTTCACTGTTGCTGGGACAAAACGCTGGAATTCCCTCCCTAATAGTATTGTGGGTCAACCTACAGCAGGTGGACTGCAGCAGTTGAAGAAGGCAGCTCACCACCACCTTCTCCAGGGCAACTAGGAATGGGCAAGAAATGCTGGCCAGCCACTGACGCCCCTATCTCACAAATGAATGGGAAAAAACCCTATAAATTAAAGTTTATAGTTGTGTAAAGAGTAGACTGCAGTTCTAAACTTCTGCTTGGCTATCTATAATAGTGCTGTTTATCACTGGTTGTGCCCTGTTTCTTTCGCAATGAACTACCTCATTTAGCTTAAGCATTGTCAATGAAGTTCAAAGTTGGACTGAAGTGGTAGCAGCTTTACTAGATAAATGCAGCCTAAGAATATATCTAGTTAATACACTCCCTTAGGCATGTCCCACATATGTCAAATCACATGCAAATGAGTCGATACCAGCAAAGTCAGTTTTCTTTGCATGAGCCAGCTCATTAAATGTAGCCTACAGGCAACACCTATTCAGTGTTCAGTTCTGTTTTCTTTCTTTGTGACTTGATTTTTATGCTCCTGGGAGAGTAATTTGAAATCGGTTGATATTTTGCAAATTCTCAGTGGGACTTGAATGCTCTGCTAAGCTAGGATGGTCTTTTGCCTAAACTAAATGCTATAATCAGCAAATTACTATAATTAAACTTAATAAAAGAAAGAACTGCATTTACATAGTCCTTTTCACAATGTCAGTGTTCCAAAATGATTTGCTGCCAATGAACTTTTTAAAGTGTGATCAGTGTTGTGATGTAGGCATTGTAATGTCCAATTTACAGGCAACAAGTTCTCACAAACCCAACAGTAATATGCATCAATGAATTCCATTCACATTTGGACTTCAAACACTTCTTTCCCTCTGCCTCCACGCCTATTTTTTTTTAACTGCGAGTCTAACCCACCCTCTACAGACCCCTTCTCCCACCTCCAACACACCCCATGCTCCTGGACACCACCCCAAGGCCTCCTACCCTCCCTCGACCTCTTCATCTCCAACTGCTGTGAGACATCGATCACCTCAGCCTCTCCACCCCCTCACTCACTCCAACTTCTTTCTCCCATGGAACGAGCAGCCCTCCGCTCCGACCCTAACCTCACTATCAAACCCGCTGATAAGGGAGGTTCCGTAGTGGTATGGCGCCTGACTTTTACATAGCCGAGGCCAGGCGCCAACTCCCTGACACCTCCTCCTACTGCCCCCTTGACCCCCTTCACCTAGACCATCTCCCATACCTCCCTCTCCTTCCTGGACCTCTCTGTCTCCATCTCTGGAGACTGCCTTGAAACCAACATCTCTATTTTGAGCCCACAGCTACCTAGACTACACCTCCTGTCACCCACCTTCCTGCAAGAATGCGATCCCCTACTCCCAATTTCTCCACCTCCGTCGCGTCTGCTTCCAAGATGGGACATTCCACTCCCACACATCCCAGATGTCCTCCTACTTCGAGGACTGCAACCTCTCCCTTTGGTGATCGAAAACGCTCTCAACCGCATCTCTTGCATTTTCCGCACCTCTGCCCTCACATCCCCTTCCCCCAGCAAAAACAAAGACAGAAGTCCCCTTGTCCTCACGTATCAGCCCACCATCCTCCGTGTCCAACGTATCATTCTCCGCTACTTCCGCCACCTATAATCCGACCTCACAACCAAAGAGATATTTCCCTCCCCATCCCTATCTGCCTTTCGTAGGGACCGATCTCTCCGCTCCACGATCCTCACTAGCCCCACCACCTCTGCAACTGCAGGAAGTGCTGCACCTCCCCCCCCACCTCCACCTCCCATTCAAGGCACCAAACAAACCTTCCACATTAGACAGATGTTCACTTGCTCATCCGTCAATGTGGTTGATTGCATCCACTGCTCCCGAAGTGGCCTCCTTTACATCTGTGAGACCAAGCAGGGAGGCTCGGAGAAGCTTTGTAGAGCACCTGCGCGCTGGTCGTGACAAACGACAACACCTGGTCGTGAACAATTTCAACTCCCCCTCCCACTCCCTGGGTGAGATGTCCGTTGTGGGCCTCCTCCAGTGTCACAATGACGCCACCTGCAAACTGAAGAAGCAGCACCTCATATTCTGCCTCGGGAGCCTACAGCCCAATGGCCTAAATGTGGATTTTACCAGTTTCAAAATCTCCCCACCCTGGCCTCATCCCATGACCAACCCTCCCTCTCATCCCTGCCTCCTTGACCTGATACAACCTGTCCATCTTCTCTCCCAACTATGCACCCCTCCCGCCTCACTGACCAATCCCCACCATCCCACTGCCTACCTGCACTCGCCTATTACCATCCCACCTACCTTTCCCAGCCCACCCCTCCTGTCTCTATTTATTTCTGAGCTCTCTTCTCCCCACCGCCATTTCTGAAGAAGTGTCCCGACCCAAAATGTCAACTTTCCTGCTCTGCTGATGCTGCCTGGCTTGCTGTGTTCCTCCAGCTCCACACACTCGGTTATCTCTGCTTTTGTGATGTTGGTTGAGGGAATAACCATTGACCAAGGGATAATACCCCTACTATTTTCTTGAAATAGTGCCTTAGGTATTTTGTGTCTACATGGCATTGCTGGCTCGGTTTCATACCTTGTGGAAAACAGGACCTCTGAATGTGCAGCACTCCCTTCATATTGCACTGAAACGTCAGCCTTGATTTCTAAGCTTGAGTCTGTGGCTTGAATCCACAACCTCCTGACTCGGGTAAGTATACTTCTATTGAACCATAATGCATGTTGTATAATGAGTTCATATTAATACACATTTAATTGATGTCGAAAACTAAATTACATGTGTCAAAACTGGTAATATTTAGATTCCACTGCTTTTGAAATTTGGCCTTGACAGATGCATGATTTTTTTCACCATGCACTGATGCTGAGCATATTTTATAACCGCACAATATGCAGCCGAGCTTCAAGACTGTGATCAAACAGTTTCAAAATTAGGGTTATTTATGGCTGCCATTGAGTCAGCTGGTTAGGTAGTGTTTTAAAATTAAATTATCAGACATGGGGCTATTGCTGTAAAGACCAATGGCATTTAGAGTTAAAGATCTTCAAAATACTCTCTGAAGTAATGCTCTGTAATTCTGTTGCAAGGGTCCTACAACTGTAAAACCTATTCAAGTGACTCGTGCTTTTCACATGGTCATATTGTGCTTGTCAAAGTCTCTGCACATCAATGCAAAAATTCCAGGAAAACTCAGATTCATTAGTATGTGACAAAATTTGTCATGGTCTTGAAATAAATCCTGTGTATGGAAGACAGTTGTGGATTGTTAGATTCCAGCTTCTCTCATTGTCACAGATATTTTAAATCTACCTGTTTGGACATCATGAAACACTTTTAGAATAGGTAGGACTTGAACCCAGGCCTTCTGGTCCAGATATTGGGACACTACCATGTAGCCACATGAGCTTCTTTCTCATGGTGTTATGGACTGGACCATGTATGTTAAAATTGAGGCATAATGCACAGAAAGAAAATTGAAGAAGGAATTGTATTTGTAGAGAACCTTTTGTAACCTGTGGACTTCCAAAGTGTTTCACAGTCATTTCATCACTTTTGATCTGTAGTCATTATTGTAAAGTAGGTGGCAGACAATTTGAGATCCCATAAATAGCAATGAAATAATGATGAAATGATATTTTTGCCATTGTTGGTTGACAACTATATGTTGCCTGCCCTGTTTTTCTTTTAACATGGGATCTTTTAAAAAAAGCTGAACAGGCAAGTGGGGCTTTAGGTCAAAGTAAAGTCACATAGTTCACCAAATTATAGGTCTACTCTCATTAGAGAGAGCGACAACCGTGGTGGTTTAACTTGGGGGTCACTGCACCTCAGGCAAGGAGAGCGGTTGCGAATGAGAATTTTATGGTAACCAAGCCAGCGCAAGAGTTGAACCCACACTGACAAAACTCTGCATCGCAAACCAGCCGTCTGACAAACTGAGCTAACTGATCCCCCTGGAAAATATTATGGACCACTTAACAAATTTGTGTGTAGGCAACACCTATACTAAAATTGGAATGATACAGAGAAAATTAGCTTAGTCCCTGCGTAAGGGATTTTAGTTTAATGTTTCATCAAAAATCGAGTACTTCTGCCCATGCATCATTTTTCTGGTAGTGCTTTGACATGTTAGCCATATTGTGGGTTCAAGTTCCAGACTTTTACGTGGAACCATTACTGCGTAGGGAGAATGTTGCCACTGAGCTAAGGTTAACACTTCAAATTAATGTGCTGATTATGGCATGTATTTGGTGGCTTCACATCTTTCACCAGGCCACGTAAATTAAGGAGGTCTGTTGGTTTAACACTTGCTCTGTGGTGAGTTAGTGAATCTCTTTGGGGTTGTATTTAATATGTTATAGTCACCTTCAGTCATCCTGAATGAGAAATGTTAGTGTCTGATTTAGAATTTGGGACTTTTCAGAGTGCCGGAGACCATATAACTACCCATCGGAAGTTTCAACTTTGACTGTAGAAGGATTACCCATAATGCGTCAGGACTTCCACATGGTCCTGAGTTGCATCTTCTAGGATATGCCTGGCCTCCAGTCATCTGGACACTGGAAGATCAGGGTTAATTTCAAGTTTCTGATTTGTTTGAATGGTCAAATATTGCCATCATCAATAAAGTGATAAGCATTGCATTAGCACAAAAGTGATTGCACTGCTGTCACAAGAGTGACTGTTATTTAGGTATCTGCAGTTGCTGTCTGCCAATCGTTCCTGTCCTTGCCCATGTATCAAAATAGAATATTTGCAGCTTGTTGTAATTGGTTTCAGATACTTTAGTGAAATATATCTTGTCACAGTTACTTTTTCAAGTATCTATCCAATGCACAGCAGCAGATTACAAAACTTATTTCTCCATTACTAATAGTTAGATCTATGTGTGACTTTCATGCCGTAATGATGTGAAAATGTAATTCGCATTGGAAACTTTCATGAGTCTGCTAAATAAATAAGGGCTGGTTATATATTAGGAACTCCGCCATTTACTATATACAGTGAAATGCCATGTTGATACTTCCTTCAATAAATATTGATTAAAAATTCCTAAAGAGCTTGTAAATATTGATAGCTTGAAGAAATATATGATTTTCAAAATGGCCAGAGTTTTGATTATGATTCATTTCTCTTCCTCCTTCCACCCTCAAAATGATTGAATTCAGATATTCTTTGGACTGCTTGTGTGATCTTTGCGTGCTGTTCAGCCTTTCTTCTCATTTCTGAGAATTATCCATTGGTGAGTCATTGAATCATCATCCTCATTTTGTCCTGTATTTACAGAAAATGTTCTGTGCCTGGTATGCCATCAATCTGAGAAGATTCCTTGGTTGTGTCACTACTGAAAAGGCTCATAACTTAAGTGTTGCCACAAATCAGTTCAGCATCAGAGAAGGCTATGTAAAATTTGTAAAAGTGAAAGCAACAGTGCTACTTATTTTCTCAGTTCTGAGGAAGGGTCATTCAACCCGAAACGTTAACTCTGATTTCTCTCCACAGATGCTGCCAGACCTGCTGAGCTTTTCCAGCAATTTCTGTTTTTGTTTCTGATTTACAGCATCCGTAGTTCTTTCAGCTTTTACTGTGCTACTTATTCTACCAGCATTTGGTCCAACTTCAGATGTAGGAGTAATCCATTCTGTCTTTGGAAGGATGTTGTTGCAGCTGTGTAGGTTTTGTGGGTACCAGCACATATATTCTGAATTAAGTTGGAAGTCACAAATAATGGAGCGGTCAGTTTTGCTACTCATTGTTTCCAAAAGTTTTGAAATTTTATTCAGCAATTGGGCTGATGCTGATTTTTTTTTTCTCCATAATTCTCAAATGCATTCATCCTTCAGATTATACCAATGTTTTAGAAAAATGTACTGGCAAAGGTTGAAGTGGGTTTTTTTTTTATTCACTTGTGGGAAGTGGGCTTCACTGGCTGGCCAGCATTTATTGCCCGTCCCCAGCTGCCCTTGAGAAGGTGGCATTGAGCTGTCCTCTTGAAATGTTGAAGTCCATGTGCTATAGGTTAACTCAGTTTTCAGTTTCTTAAAATTCATTTTCAGGATGAGGGAGTCACTGGCTACGCCAGTGTTTGTCACCATCCCAGAAGGCAATTAAGAGTCAGCCACATTGCCGTGGGTCTGGAGTCACTGTAGTCCAGACTGGGTAAGGATGGCAGTTTCCTTTTCCAGTGACATTAGTGAACTTGGGTCACTGATTGCAGTTTGTTTTTCTTCTATCTTTCCCCACTCCCTCTATAGTGGTCAACATAGTAAGGACTTCAAAGCTTGTAGTGCCATGAGCTGTAGGTACAAAACATAGTCATTTGTAACTTGAAAATCACCTTAACGTGAGTACATTTAAACATTGACTGAAAAGATTTTATTTGGCATAACAAATTCATTCTTTCTAGTGACTTCTTACAAATATCAACCCTACCCAAATTGTTTAACCTTCTGCAGGGTTCAGCAGTTCCCCTCTACCCTTCAAATGGTAAACAGACCAAAATAGCAAAATATGTCAGCAGCCTTGTGTCCTGTTATTCTTCCATGAACAGGTGTTCTTTGTGATGTAACATTTCTACAGACCTTGCAGCTCAGAAACTGAGATGTTTCTTGCAATATTTGTAGATCTTGCGATATTTACCTTTTGTCTAAAGCACAATTTCTGACTAGAGATGGGTGCAATTTATTTTTCCTCAAGCCATAATTACCCACTTGAGCTGTGACTGCTCGATATTCCCGGCTATGTAAAGCAAATGTATTGTACTTTATAGAATTTCAACATCATTATTGGTACTGAGGAACTGGAGAACTTTACAATGCCGGTTACTATTTGTGGGTGCAGGAAGCGGATATACGAAACCCAGCTCAAATCAGTGCAGCGGCTTGTTTCATCCAAGTGGTTCCTGTTGCCTTAATCGTGTGTATCTCAGTATTTCCTCTGTCTGTGTGTGTGTCATAGAGGAAACTGAAAATTCATTCATTTGGGGACTGTGGTAAGTGACTCAACCTTAGGAAATCCTGTGGCATAGAAGAACTGTAATGCAATTGCATTATGTAAATCCACCCAAGTTAAAATAAAAGGCACGATGCAACATGGCCAAACAAATTGTGGCCAGGATCCCTTGTGACCTCCTGAGTTATTTTACATCTTATTGACCAGGTTTAGCATGCTGGCCTTCATTGGTTGAGGCATTGAGTATAGGAGTTGGGATGTTGTGTTACAGTTGTATAACTCAGTGAGGCTGCACTTGGAGTATTGTGTACAGTTTTGGTCATCCTGTTATAGGAAAGACATAGTTAAAGTGTGCAAAGATGATTTACGAGGATGTTGCCAGGACTAGTAGGCCTGAGTTATAGGGAAAGGTTGGCTAGGATGGGACTTTATTCCTTGGAACGTAGGAGGACGAGGGGTAACTTAATTGAGGAGTATAGATAAGATGAATGCATACAGTCTTTTTCCCAGGGATGCGGAATTGAAAACTAGAGGACATTGGTTTAAGGTGAGAGAGGATAGATTTAAGAAGGACCTGAGGGGTAACTTTTTCATTAAGAGTGGTATGTATATGGAATGGGCTGCCAGAGAAAATAGTTGAGGCAGGTAAAATAGCAACATAGAAAAAGCATTTGGATAGGTACGTGGATGGCAAGGGTTTAGAGGGATATGGGCCAAATGCGGCACCATGGACTAGTTTGGGCCGAAGGGCCTGTTTCCATGCTGTATTACTCTGACTGTCTATGATCCCCTATGAGTTAATGGTTTGACTGTTCTAGATGGACTTAAGTCAATTAATTCTTTTCATGGTGCACAAATTTAAGTAAGAATGCTATAGTTTAATGCAGTCAACAGGAAACTTTCCAAAGACCCATGCTGTTATACATTGCTGTTTGAGCCCAGATAATAATTTGTGTTGTTACCTCCAATCATCTATAATTCTGTTTGTACATAATAGTTTCAGCCAGGAGTAAATTATTGAACCATCTAACCTACATATGCCATCATTCCCTAAGATTGTCATAATACATCTAAATCTGATTGGTGTCAGCCTTGATACTGTGGCCTCTGAGTTAGAAGGTCAGAAATCTCACAACACCAGGTTATAGTCCAACAGGTTTATTTGAAAACACAAGCTTCAGGGCATAGCCCCTTTGTCAGATAGGGGCTACGCTCCAAAAGCTTGTGTTTTCAAATAAACCTGTTGGGCTGTAACCTGGTGTCATATGATTTCTGATCTAGTCCAACATTGGCACCTCCACATCTGAGTTAGAAGGTTGTGGGTTCAAGACCCACTCTTGAGAATTTTCCAGTGTCGTAATGAAGAGTGTGCATGTTGCAAGTTTTTTTTTTGTACGAGGCACTAAAACTATTGACATTAAAATGGCATGGCATTGCCCAGAGCATGGGTGTTTTCCTTATGTTCTGGATGGTATATATCATTTAAGCAATGTCACCTATTTATAGGTCATATATCTCACAGCTGTTTTGCTTCATGGAAACAAAAATAGGCCATATAATCCCTTGAGCCAGTTTTACCATTTAATGAGATCATAGTTGACTTGTGACTTCACTCCATTTAGTGACTTTTCCCCATATTTTTTAATATCTTTTGCCTATTGAAAATCTATAGATTTCAGATTTAAAATTAGCGCCTAACTCTGGTTTGTGTAGGAGAATTCTTCTAGAATGTACCCTTAGAAGGAAAGAGTTTTCCTAATTCGAATCTCCCTTACTAGTTCCCTTAAATATCTTGAACACCTTATTCAAGTCACCCCTTAGCCCCATAAATTTCAAGAAATACAACTCAGTTTATGTAATCTCTTCCCCTAGGATCAAGGTATCATTACTCCACTGCCATTTTACTATAAAGCTTCTGAACCTAGGGCTGATCCACTCAGTCCACTTTTCTTTTCATTTCTTTTCTTTTTTTCTCTCTTTCTCTTTTATTTTACTTACCTCTTGGTGAAGAGTTTGGCCGAGACAACAGTAATGGCAGTGGCGAGTGGGCCCAGCAGCGCGGACTCGTGGTAGCGGTGTTGGAGGTGAATTTGGGTTCTGGTAGCATCTGTATCCAGCACAGATTCATGGCGGCAGTTGAG